AACATATCGTTGTATCCTTCTTTATTAATTGATAAACGACAAGGACAAATGATGCATCATGCGCTTCATGCGTAACTCGGAACGCATTCTTTGTATTATTCAATAATCTTTGAATACATCGCTGAAATTAAAATAATTTAATAGAAAGTTACTAGTTAGCATGTATTAAGTGCACGATGTAAACTGAGCTTATTGGCTCATATTATATTGTTCTGTACTGTATAAGGCCGGAATCAGACTACGCATTAAAGATTGAGCGCATTCAGCGGACTCAACAGTTGAGTGAGCGCTCGCTGTTATTGGTGTATTCTTTTAGCTCATCCAATTAGAAGAATGCATCAATAGCAGCGAGCGCTCACTCAACTGTTGAGTCTGCTGAACGCGCCCATTGAGACTGAAGATTGAAAAATTCAAATTTGACCAATCGATACGAAAGGAGCTAAAATTTCTTTGTCCTTGGTCAAATTTCAATCCTCAATCTTCAACCTCAATCTTCAATGCGTAGTCTGATTCCGGCCTAATGCCCGTGTCACACTACGCATTGGAGACTGAGGATTGCGAATTGAGGATTAGAATTCAGCTAATTAGAACGAAACGGATTAAACTTAAAATTATTTGATTGGTCGAATTCTAATCCTTAATTCGCAATCCTCAATCTCCAATGCGTAGTGTGACACGGGCATTAGGTTGTGGTTAATAATAATGGTTGTTCTACAATGTGTTCTTTGTTTCCTGTTTCTTGCTTTTTACAATTATATTTCTTGATATGTGTTTTCTGTTTCTTCTGAAGCTCGTTAACGTTTATCTCGAGTAACAGAAAACGAAAAACGAGATAAGAGGCAAAAAGGCAAGATACAAAAAATAGCAAAAAGAGCTAGAAACAGGAAACAAAAAGCACATTGTAGAATAGGCTTTACAGACGCCTTGCGAGTTACAGTCCATTATTATATTTAGTAAAAATGTAGATCAGATGCGGTGGGATTTTCCACGCGAAGCGACTCTCGTCCTCCCTCCCCCCTGCAAAGGGGCGCACGACTCTCACCCCCTTCCTCCCTGCAAAGGAGCGTGCGACTCTC